AAGTTCCTCAATGGCTTTCCACTTTGTTTTTTGAGACCACTGAGCTTGCAGCTCGTTGACTGCGCCAGGCTGGCTGGCCAGTGAGCTCCAGGGGTCTGCCTTTTACCCACCCCCCAGCACTGGGGTTACAGATACTCGGCTTTTACCTAGGTGCTGGGGACCCAAACTCAGGTCCCCAGGCCTGCACAGCAAGGACTTTACCCACTGAGCGATCTCGCCAGCCCAGAGACAATGCACTTTAATGACTTAACACAATGTATGCCACGTATCACGTAAGGAAAGGCACCGTCACTGTCATTGTCATGATTGTTACTACAAGTATAGAGGCTGAGAGCGGCGGAGACTGCTTCCCTGTCCTGTCCCCCCCCCCCCCCGTCCCCCCCCTCCCCCCCCCCCCCCCCCGACTCCCAGCCATGCCACATTCAGTGACTGCCTAAAGAGAGCTGTTCCAACCTCAGGGTCTGCCACTGAACAATGTAATGGAAACAGGATTGAACCCCAAAGAGCCGGTTCAATTGGAATTCCAGTTAGTTTCCTAGCCTCTGTCCGTCTCAGGAAAGGCTGGATGTGGATTAATCAGAAAGAGTTGGCAGGGTGCCATCCTACTTGCAGAACACTTGGTTTTCTGGGGTTCTGACTCATCCTGAAAGTACCGGACCTTGGCCTCTTCTCTGGAAGGTCGATGTCTGCTTGTGTTATGTGGACAAAGTGCATGTGCGGCGTGATTCCATCCTGTGAATATTCATGAAGAGCTGGTGCTGAAAGAAAGACTGGACCCAAATGGGTTCATTGGCTGGAGTGACCAGCTATGTCAGTGCAAACCAGGTGGTTTAGACCAGCAGATCCTCCTCCACTCTGCTGGGACTCGAGGCCGAGACCAAGGTGTGCTCCCGAGGATCCAGAAAAGATCTGGTCCGGTAGTTCCATGGATGGTAGTAGTGGAACTCCGGTCTTTAGATGGTTCTCCCATGTGAATATGTCAGACTTTTTGTCACTGTGACAGCTGAAAGGACAAGAAAAAGAGCAAAGACCATGACTGGGGAGATGACTCTGTGGGTGGAGTGCTCACCATGTGAGCATGAGGACTGGGCTCACATTCTCAGCACCCACATGAAAACTGAGCATGGCCACAGGCATCTGTATTCTGGACATTTTCCTAGGTAGTTGAATTTTGCTTGCATTCTGTTTCTCCTGCTCCAGTAAAATGTGGCAAAGGCCTTCGGAAGTGATGGCTTTTTGGTTTTTGAGTTTTTTGTTTTGTTTTTCTTTTCTTTCTTTCCTTTTTTTTGTTTTTTGTTTTTTCGAGACAGGGTTTCTCTGTGTAGCTTTGGTGCCTTTCCTGGAACTCACTCTGTAGCCCAGGTTGGCCTCGAACTCACAGAAATCCACCTGGCTCTGCCTCCCAAGTGCTGGGATTAAAGGCATGCGCCACCACCGTCTGGCTTTAAGACAGGGTTTCTTTGTGTAGCCCAGGCTGTCCTAGAGCTAACTCTGTAGACCAGGCTGGCCTTGAACTTACAGAGTTTGGTTTGCCTCTGCCTCCCTAGTGCTAGGATTAAAGCTGATGGTTTTAACAGTGGTTCTCAAACTGTGGGTCAAGACCCCTTGGGGGTCAAATGACCCTTTCACAGGGGTCACATATCAGATATACTGCATATCAGATATTTACATTATGATTCATAACAGTAGAAAAATTACAGTTATGAAGTAGCAATGAAAGTAATTTTTATGCTTGGGAGGGGGGGTCACCACAGCATGAGGAACTGTATTAAGGGTTGCAGCATTAGGAAGGTTGAGAGTCACTGGTTTAAGATATCAGCACTTGTCAGGGCATATCTGCCTGGTAACGTTTTCAGCAGCCTGATGGTAAATGAGGGTCCTTGTGGTCCAAGTATCAAAAGTGGAACTCAGGGCCATCTTAATACTCATGGCGAGTGCAAAGCCAAGGTGGATCTCAGCTCCTCACTGCGGATTCTCTGTACAGTTTAGAAACTTACCTGACCTGCTGTCCAAGCAAAAATAAACCATTTGTTCCACAAATATTTATTAGAGGAGACAAGCAAAGTCTCCAATTCTCAAAACCAAACAATTTAGTCAGAGGAAAAGTCAACCCAGGAGGAGAGTCTAGTGAAGGCAAGGACTGCTGAGGACAGGGTCTCCCTCAACCAGGCTGGACCAAGACCAGACAAGACAGAGAGGAAAGAATCCATTTCAGGGGACTGCAGACCCTTGCAACATATGGCATATCAAACAGAGTGACACAAAGCTGGCTGTCTCTATCTCTTTATTTGTTTGGTTGGTTGAGACTCTGTCTCATTCTATAGCACAGGCTGCCTGGAGTTTATTATGTAACTCAGGCTAGCATTGAACTCACAGCTATCCTCCTGTCTCAGCTTCCTGAGTGCTGGGTTTACAGGTGTAAACCACCATACTCAGCTGTTTCTTAGGTCTTGGCTCCTATGGTTGCCCCCAAAACACCTGCATTCAAACCTCTGAATTGGTCTCCCTCAAAGCCTGACCAGCAGCTACCCTGCCCACTAATCCCATCCGGTGGACCAGTGGGTGACTAGTCTTAGAGGCTGTTGGACATGAGATGGCTGCTCATGAGGACCTTAGGAAGGATATGAAGGATGGTTTCCAGGCCAGATGTAGCTGGTTTCAGGTACAAAACTGACAGGCGCCAGGCGGTGTTGGTGCACGCCTTTAATCCCAGCACTCGGGAGGCAGAGGTAGGCAGATCTCTGTGAGTTCGAGGCCAGCCTGGTCTACAGAGTGAGATCCAGGAAAGGCTCAAAGCTACACAGACAAACCCTGTCTTGAAAAACCAAAAAAAAAAAAAAAAAAAAAAAAAAAAACCAAAAAAACCTGACAGGCCATTCATCTCCTTGATTGACGATCACTTTAGGATGGTTGTCTGAAACTGTTCTGCTTGGAGATCTGGTCAGTTTTCATTTTGTTTGATTTTATGGACTTATATTATTACTGAGACAGAGTGTCACCATATGGGCCAGGCTGACCTTGAACTTGTGATCCATTGTTGTGACCTGTGAACTTGTGAGCCTCATCCTACTGAGTATTAGGATGACAGGCATGGGTCACCACGCCCAGCTTGGTTTCTGTCTTGAAGGCAGCTTCCAGCTTTCTCTGAGGTCACAGCCCACACCTTCACTTGGCTCGTATGCTTGGTGCTCGTGGGACTAGGTGCTTCCTCTTTCCCTGAGTGGCCTTTAGTGGGTCTTTAGATCTGCGTCTAGTGTCACTTTATACACACAAGGTTTCTTGAGGCCACCTCTCACAGGCTGGTGGGTCGGTCTCAGACTGCAGCAGAGGCTCTTGAAGGGAGTGTTAGGCCTAGACTCCTGGGCTTCCCTCGGGTGTCTCTGGGGTAGAACAGAAGACTATTTCTAAGAAAGTTCCTGGGTGCTGATCCCCTCTTCAGGACCCATCAGAGAACCATGGGACAGTCTAGCATCACATCCATTGGCTCATTCCTGCAGGGGATACTGACTCTAATCGCATACTTTTCAGTTCTGCCTAGGAGCTCAGCTGTGACTCCTAGGGACCCCCCGTCCGAGGTGGCTGCTGTCCTCGGAGGGAAGCGGGGATGTTGAGCCTTCTAAGTTGGGCAGTTACAAAAGACAGTTATGAAGAGCAGAGGAAGGGAAGTATGGGATTGGTTCATGGGCTCGACAAACAGTGGCATCTGAGCTGACACAGGAAGAAAAGGGGGTGAGGAGGGAAGGAGGGGAGGAAGGGAGGACCTGGCTTTTCTGGTTCAGTTTTGTTCCATGCTCAACATTTTTTTGTTTTTGTTTTTGTTTTTCAAGACAGAGTTTCTCTGTTTAGTCCTTGTTGTCCTGGAACTCAATTTGTAGACCAGGCTGGCCTCGAACTCAGATAACTGCCTGCCTCTGCCTCCTGAGTGTTGGGATTAAAGGCATGTGCCACCACTGACTGCCTGGTGGCTCAATATTTTTTACTCTGAAAAAATATGGCTCAGGTTAACTCATAGATGGGGGGTTTGGGAGCTCACCCTGTCCTCAGTGACAGAAAAGGTGACTGTATTGGGGTGTAGGTAGGTAGAGGGTGGAGCCTGACTGGGGTCTGAAATATTTACAATACTACTGATGGGAGACAGATCTGTCTGTGGCAGGAGGAGAGGGGACTGGCCAGGCAAAGGCCCATTTGTCTTCTTGTCCAAAGCACTGTAGCCATCGGGGGGCAGGCTGTTAGTTTCAAACAATTAGCTCTCTTATCTTGAATGCAGCTTTGGGGTCAGCTGGCAGAGTGTGGACTAGTTAACACTTAGGTGCTGGGTAGTTTCAAGTGTCAACCTGACATACCTAGAATCCCTGGGAAGAGAGTCTGTTAATGAGGGATCACTTACATTGGGTTGGCATCTCTCTGTGTGGTGGTGGTGGTGGTGGTGTCTTAATTAAGCTAATTAATGTGGGAAGACTTAGTCCACTGTGGACAGCACCATTTCCTAGGCAAAGAGTCCTGGACTGTATAAGAAGAAGAAGCTAGCTGAAAGCAAGTGAGCACGCATCCCTGCATTTACTCTCTGTGCTCTTAACTGTGGATGTGGTGTTCTTTGTTCCTGCCCTGACTTCCCCACAATGATGGACTGTAACCGGGAATGGCAAGCCAAACACGTGCCTCCTCCCCTACACTGCTTTTGAAACTAGAACAACTCACCAAGGCCTGCTGGGAAACAGATACATGTTGGCCCAGGGATGTAGCTCTGTGATAGAGTACCTACTTAGCATGTACAAGCTCCAGAGTTTCCCTCTCCGCCCCTCAAGTAAACAGCATCAACAACAAATGGGAAACAGGCATGTATTGTATGGCTTGCGAGTCGGCCACAGCCTCTTTTTAAGTGAGGACAACTTACTGGTGGGACCAGTTTAGCCTCTCTTGCAAGCACAGGCTATCATGATGGATGCAGGTACATGCCTTCTACGCTAACTAGCTTCTCCATCATATGATGTCTTTTCCAGGCCCAGCTGTCTCAGGCCCTAAATGGGGTTTCAGATAAGGCCAAAGAGGCGAAGGAGTTTCTGGTTCAGCTCAAGAACATACTGCAGCAGATCCAGGTGAGCAGACTCTGGTGCTGGACAGACAGTGTGGGCTGTTTGTCAAATACACAGAGAAAAGGGAGGGCTGGTCTTGGGACAAGTGATTTTCAGCAATGGTTTTTTTTTAGAGGGTTGGCCTGTCTGGTTGTACTGTCCTGGGTGCTGAAAGTGCCACTCTCAGTCCGTTGACATGCAGATAACATCTTTTGTACTTAGACGTGCCTGTGTAACCAGTGCAGCGAAACAGAAACACCTCGTTCCCTAAGCAAATACGTTATCTGAGTGTCTGTGCTATGTCCCACACTGAGCCTGAAAAACACACAGAAATCAGTGCGTCTCACTTCAGTGAGCTATGTGCAAGGGAGAGAGAGTTCACCCGTGTGCACACGCAGAAGGGTCCACCTGCACAGAGGAAAGCCTGGAGCATTTCTATGCCTTGCCAGAGGAAAGGACTAAGTGCCCTGAATCTTTCTTCTTTACCCTCCTTTTTCTCCCCTACCTTTCCTCCTCCTTTAAACAATTATTGTTATTACTATTATCTTTATTACTTATACAGGGTCTTATTACAAAGCCTAAGCTGACCTTAGTCTTAAAAGTGCTAAGATGACAGGCATATGACGCCCACCCTGCCTGACTCCCACAGGGAGTCTCAAGTCACAGGGCTCTGATGTTCCATGAACACAAGATGTATTAGTTTTCTCTGAATGTCACCGTAAGAGATCAGAGATGGAGCAGAGGCAGCAACAGAAATGGATTCAGTCCAGAGGCTGCAAGCCCAAGGTCACCTAGCTCTTCCTGAGGCCTCTCTGCCTGGCTTGCAGATGGTAGTACTCCCTGTGTCCTCACTGGCTGTCCCTCTGTGTGTGTCTGTGTCCTGATTTCTTCTTCTTATAAGGACACCATTTGGATTGGACTGGGGCCACCCTGATGGCCTCATTTTAACTTCTGGCTTCAAACACAGCCACACGGTGTGGTCCTGGGGCTTATGATTCAGAATATGATCCAGGAGGACAATTTAGAATCTACCCAGATCCTGGAGACCTGGAAACTGAGGCAGACAGACTCACACTCTTTTGTTTACTTTACTTTTTTGGATTATAAAAACAAAGTGTATGGTACAGAGATTTTAGAGAGTACGGAAGACAGAGCTGAAAAAAAGCTCACCAGCATCCCTCATCTGAGGTGACCGTGCTTGTCACATACACACATCTGTACATACATATGCACACAACCATACACACACATATATGTATACACACATATAGATACTCAGTCACACATATGCACACACATATACACACACACACTCATTGTATATGGGATTATTCTGTGAACCACTACTGTCCCGTTTTCTTTCTTCCTCTTCTCCCTCCTTCCCCCTTTTTAAAGACAAGGTCTCTGGGCTAGCCTTCAGGTCAAGCTCTTCCTGCCAACGCCTCTCAGGGGCTGGGATGACAGGCACGCCACACCTCACCCAGGCTTTTCCCTTTTACCCATCTCCCATGACCGCTTTTCCACGGCACTAACAATGTTCTACGAACAGACGACAGGCTGTGTCACCGTGTGGCTGCGTCACGGTTCGGGGAACTCTTCCTTGATGCCCACTCACGATTCATGCTGCCCCCAACTTAGAAACAGTATCGAGAGCTCTGAGAGGAGCTGTCTCCTCTGGACCACAGAGGCCAGCCCCTCCTCATCACAGTCCTCTGCTTCCCCAGGAAAATGGATTGGACTATGAAGCTTGCCTGGTGGCACAGTGTGATGCCCTGGTGGATGCACTGACCCGGCAGAAAGCCAAGCTGCTCACCAAGGTGACCAAAGAGAGGGAGCACAAGCTGAAGGTAAGAACTGAGTGACCTGGTCCTCTACCCCTATGACGTCACCTGCACCCAACAGAGGGCGGCACTGCCTTACGCACAGGATGGTCTTAGGCGAGTGAGTGAACGGATGTGGCTGGGAGGCTCTGAGTTGGCTGGTTCAGCAACACTCAGGAGTCAGGGAGTACTCTCAAGCAGTCTCCAAAGCCAGGCGCCCCACAGCATCCTGCTGTCTTCAGAGCCGTCTCCCCTCTCCCACTTGCTCTGGGCTCCTGTGTCTGTTAGGGGGGTGGGGCCTTCTCTCATCTTGCCTAGTAGGTGTGGACAGCGACAGAAACAGTCAGGCTCTGCTCAGGTCTCCAGCACTGTCTCCTTCTTCAGACTCTTACATCATCTCATGTATCCATGCTCAGCAATGATGTGTGTGGCCAGGCTCTGCTGAGGGACATTGAGTCATGTCCCTTATGTAGCGCTAAGTTCCTGGCTCGGGCAGAAGCTGAGAAAGACCCGAAGTGGTTCCAAGGAGCTCTGTGCCAGAGGCATCTAAGTGAATTAGAAAACACTTGCTTTCCTTTTAGAGAGGGTCTTGTGTGGCCCAGGCTGGCCTCAAATTTGCTATGTAGCTGAGAATGACCTTGAACTACTGTCTTCCTGATTCCACCTCCCAAGTTCTGGGATTTTAGGCATGTATATCATGCTTGGACAGATTACCCAGAGCTTCAGCCATGCCAGACAAGGCACTCTACCAACTGAACTACATCTCCATCTCAGAAAACACTATTTTAGTTTATCTGTTTGTTTTTTGAGATAGTGGCTTACTATGTATCCCTGCTGGTTACAAACCATCAAACTCAGTATATAATCCAGACTTCCTGAGTACCACAACCCCCTCAGAAAACATTACTTTAAAGAGAGAAGGTTGTGTGTTGGAAGGGAACCACATGTCCTGGGAAGGGGGTATGGAGAAACCCACTAAGTTATCCCTGACCGGACAGAAAGCTGGCCACATCACAGGGTGGGTTGTACATCATTCCCTTTGTGTGTCCGACTGCCCAGAGCTCAGAAAGCTTTGCTGTGCTGGAAGGGGCCCACTGATTCCCCAGAGATGACTCCACAAATCAGGAGCTGAGTAGAGTGCTGGCTGTGAGGTGGGGCAAATCAACAGCGCCCTTCCTGGCTGCCCAGGCACCCGCTCACACACGGTCGCTGTAACTGACTATTTTTCCCCACAAGGGGATCTTCAGAGCTCTCTCTCTCCATTGCAGATGGTTTGGGACCAGATCAATCACTGCACGCTGAAGCTGCGTCAGTCCACAGGCCTGATGGAGTACTGCCTGGAGGTGATCAAGGAGGATGACCCTTCTGGCTTCCTGCAGGTGAGCAGCCCCTGGAGCACTGCTGCAGGCAACTTCCTTCAGCTCCGCCCATGCTCCCTGCTCTTCCTGAACCAGGTCTCTCTCTAGGTTCTGTCGCTCCCTGGCTGGGACTTGAATAGCTTCTCCTTTGCTCTGTGAGGCCAGAATACCTGGGCTGTCGTTATGACTCTGACCCTCACTAGCAATATCCCTGATTCTGCACCAGGCAGTAAACAAGAAGTCCAAAATGCATCATCTCTAGGGACTAAACGCCGTGCTCCAATATTTCTCCCCAGTAATGGGAAGACATAGTCTTGCCACATGAGCTGGACAAACTGCACAGAGAGAGGTGGGGGGCAGGATCCCCCTTCCCTGAGAGATGGTGCAGCCTTGTCAGGGCCACTGCTCCAGCAGCATTCAGGCTAACTTGAGGACATTCATTCTCAGGAACGTGGTCACGTGTTAACCTACCTGTGGGAGAAGCATGCGTCCCATTGTTTACTCTCCAAGAAGGCTGCAGGAGGGGCTGAAGAGCCGGCTCAGTGATTAAGAGCACTTGTTGCCCTTGCAGAAGACCTGGCTTTGGGTCCTAGCACCCACATGGTGCTTCACGGTGACCTGTAACTCTAGTTTCTGGGGATCTCATGCCCTTTTCTAACCTCCTTGGGGACTAGGCACACACAGTGCACAGACATGCATGCAGGCAAAGCATCCATACACGTAAGATAAAAATAAATCTGAAAAGAAAAGAAAATGAGGAGGAGGAGGAGAAGGGTACACATCATGGCTCTCGGTAACATGTGCCCAGGTCTCAGAAGCAGAATTTTGCAGCGAAGGAAGGCAGAGCCGCAGGGGTGACACAGGGAGTCAGGGTTTGCAGCAGAAACCGTGGAATAGCTGGCAGGGCACACACTAGGAGGACGTGGGCATGGGCTTCAAAACCTGGGGACATGGGAAGCACTTTCTTCACACCCAGGAACAAACTGCTAGTATATTTCACTTTGCAAAGCGAGAGGGCTGGCCAAACAGATGTATGAAGGGGGTGTGTTTGACTATCTCAAAAAAGCACCGTGACTTTGGGCCACCTTAAAAAAACATAACAAACAAACAAAAAAATCTCCCTGGTGGTTCTTCACATTAACATGATCATAAAAGTAAAAAACATATAAAACTACATTAACATGATCATGCGGTTGACCTGTGGCTGAAACGACACAGCTTGTCTGGGTGGTTGAGCTCACTTAAGCTCGGCCATGGCTCACAGGTCCAGGCTCAGTCCACCTCTTCCCTTCAATGAGCTATAGACAAAGCTGAGCCCTTCCTCATAAAGGCTGGCAGCTCTTCCTCTGCAAACCCAAACCTTCTTTCTGTGCTCCTGTTAAGATCTCAGATGCCCTGATCAAGCGCGTGCAGGTGTCTCAGGAGCAGTGGGTCAAAGGTGCCCTGGAGCCCAAAGTGTCTGCGGAATTTGACCTGACTCTGGACAGCGAACCGCTGCTGCAAGCCATCCACCAGCTGGATTTCGTCCAGATGAAATGTAGGGGTGAGCCGTGGTCGGACCCATTTAGTGATGCTGCCTCCCCAAGAGGCACACAGGCCAAGTGCAGCTTGATGGTGGCAGGAGCCTGTCATGCAGCGTGCCAGAGGAAAGGGTGAAGATCCCAGGTCCTAGCCAGGATGGGAGGACTGCAGCTGAACCTGAACTCCCTTTCCTAGACCAAGGGTCAAGGACAGAAAGCAGAATGAACGGGGCTTTTACATCACGTCCTCCGCTGCTGCCCGGGGGGTTCAGGTTGCAGATGTGAGCTAGGCTGCAGATTCCCACCCAGACTGCACTTCCAGGCTAGAGAAGCAGCAATTCAGGAGCCCATTGATGTTAGCAGCAGGTGCCAGGGAGAAAGGATAGAGGGGTTGTGTGGATGTCAGGGTGTATTCTTAGGGGAGGAGGAGGAGAAGAAGGAGGAGGAGGAGAAGAGGGGAGGGGCAAGAAAGAACAAAGGGGAGGGGAGAAGCCAGGTATGGTGGTGTACCTGTAATCCTAATGAGGGAGAGGAGGAGAGGAAGAGGAGGAAGAGATGAAGAAAGGAGGAGGAGAGTGATGAGGGAGAAAAGGAGAGGAAGAAGAGAAGTGAGGAGAGAAGAAGGAAGGAAAAAGGAGGAGGAAGGAGCCTGGGGGAAGAGGAGGAGGAGGGAAGGAAAAGGGAGCAGGGAGAAAAGAGACAATGAGAAGGGGGAGGGAGAGAGGAGGAGGAAGAAGAGGAGGAAGGAAACAAAGGATGAAGGGGAAAGGGAAGAGGACAGGAAGCAGGGGCAACAGGGGAAGAGCTTTGCAGGTGGCAGAGGGTGGCGAGTGCCAAGGCCCCAAGGAAGAGGGAGAGCAGAATGGACCAGTGGAGGATGATGGGAACTGAGGGACCAGTGGAGGATGATGGGAACTGAGGGACCAGTGGAGGATGGTGGGAACTGGGGGACTAGTGGAGGATGGTGGGAACTGAGGGACCAGTGGAGGATGGTGGGAACTGAGGGACCAGTGGAGGATGGTGGGAACTGGGGGACTAGTGGAGGATGGTGGGACTGAGGGACCAGTGGAGGATGGTGGGAACTGGGGGACCAGTGGAGGATGGTGGGAACTGGGGGACCAGTGGAGGATGATGGGAACTGGGGGACCAGTGGAGGATGGTGGGAACTGGGTTCTGGGAGCCAGCAGGAACCCACAGCCAAGAGTCAGTGAAACTCGCTCAGCTTGGCTAGTCCCCGAACTCACAGAAGATGGCCAGAGCTGCACTCCTGTCCTATGCGCCACCTTCCCCAAGAAGCCCAAGGTTCATCCGGAGGGGAAGACAGACAGTGTGACTTTAGGGGAGCCCTGTCACTGACCTCAGGCCATCCTGAGGCTCACTCCCCTTACAACTTGCACCCGGGGAAGGTTTGGAAATTCCACCTGTCCCAGGTGTAAATGAGACAGTGGCAAGGGTGGGGAGCGGGGGGAGGGGAGCGGGGGGAGGAAGCTGTGCCTGGGGGAGACAGTCCTGGAAAGTGGGGGCTCCAGGACAAAATGCTGGGGGTGTAGATGCTGAATTTTAGGGTGTGGGAGATGAAGGAGTGAGAGGGTGCCAAGGATCTCCTTCAGCCAAGTGGAGGGAGGGATGGGCTGAGCCAAATGCCTGTTGTTGACACAGACTCCCCTTCCTGGGTAGTCAGCCAAGCCTGGACAGACAATAAGCTCATTCGGAGCCAAAATGAAACTCGCAGGCTTATAGAACAAGTCTCACCGTTTTCCCTTCCAAACCAGGCCAGAGCGGCCATGTCACCTTCCAGACCCTCTTGAGCCCAAGCAGAGCTGGGACATATTCAGGTTCTCCTGCTTGCCTTTAGTGAGCTCAGAGCATGCCTGCTTCAGTCCCTTCCTCCATGGGGTGGCTACCCAGCCCTCTGAAGTTGTGTCTGGTGCCATGGTCAAGGCCCCTGACCTTGCAAACCTTCCATCAAAGTTGCCTGTGTGTGTAGCTAGAGTTTTCCTGCCTGGCCCACAGTCAGGACAAATCTCTCTCACCTGCCAGTCCCACAGCCGCTCAGACCCGACCAAGTAAACCCAGAGACTTATATTGCTTCCAAACTGTATGGCCATGGCAGGCTTCTTGCTAACTGTTCTTACAGCTTAAATTAATCCATTTCCATTAATCTATACCTTGCCACATGGCTCGTGGCTTACCGGCATCTTCACATGCTGTTTGTCATCGTGGCGGCTGGCAGTGTCTCTGTGACTCAGCCTTCCACTTCCCAGCTTTATTCTCCTCCTTGTCCCGCCTACACTTCCTGCCTAGCCAATGGCCAATCAGTGTTTTATTTATTGACCAATCAGCAACACATTTGCCATACAGACCATCCCATAGCATGTGTGTTTTGCTCCTCATCCACGTCACTCATCTTTTTGTCACACCCGAGATGATCAACTTGTAAAAGATTTATTTGGGTGCACGGTTTTGGAAGTTTTAGTCTGTGGTTGGCCTGTGGCTTTGGTCCTGTGATGGGCATGCCATGGTAGAGCCCAGCCCCTTGTCCTGTGGCCAGGAAGCAGAAAGGAGAAAGAGAAAAGAGCTAGGGTCCCACCATCTCCCTCATGGGCACACCACCAATGTGCCCACTCGTTCTCACCCCTTAAAGGCTTTACCCACCTCCCAATAGTGCCATCCTGTGGAGCAAGCCTTTAACACATAGGCCTTGGAAGGACATTAAGATTGAAGTCACAGTACCTCCATTCCCAGCTCAAGTGGAAGTGGCGGGCTGACTCTCACTTGGTTTCCTGCCCTGCCAGCTGCCTTCTGAGCCCACGCAGGTGACTCTGCAGTGTGTCCAGTATGGACCGTGCTGAGGTCATTTGGGTGTGCCTCATGGCCTGGGAGCCAACACCGGGGCTCTTGGTGGCAAGATGGAAAAGAGGGCTTCCCTCCTCAGGGCACAGGTCCCAAGGGTTTGGATGGCTCGGGGGTGGACTGGGGCCGGAAGGAGGGTGCTGTGTGCTGACCAGAGTGATCCTTGTCACAGTGCCACCTGTACCCTTGCTGCAGCTGGAGAAGTGCTGCACCCGCAATAACAGCGTCACCTTGGCCTGGAGGACACCACCCTTCACCCACAGCCCCGCTGACGGCTACATCCTGGAGCTGGACGATGGTGATGGGGGGCAGTTCCGGGTGAGCTAGACGCTGCTGTTCAGGGGGCAGTTTCCAGTGAGGCCTGCTGAGGCCTGCTGGTCTGGAGGGCAGTTGCAGGTGAGGCCTGCTGCTGTTTGAGAAGCCTAATGCGCTGGCCCAGACAGGACTACTGTCTTGTGAGGCTGCTCTTAACCCTGTCGTTACCCTGAGACAAGCACCATGACTACAAAGACAAAGTCTGCCAGCCTGGGCTTTGTGGAGAGAGCACTTCCTATGGTAGTAGTTGTGGCCACAGCCTCAGGGAGAGGTTTCCATCAGAGGAGTCTGGGTGATATTTCAGGGAACCCCACAGGTATGAGCTGACAGCTCAGAGAGTGCATTGCCTACACGTGTACACTTTCCGCAGGCTAGCCCACATCTTAAATACCTCCCACACAATTCTTGGCTGCCTTTAGTCTGGCTCTCCGGCTTTGGTGGTTGGGTGGGCTCCTGTCTTGGAAGCATGTTTCTGCGGTGGAAGGTGTTCTCTTGGGCCCTTCAGAACCTGGAAAGCTGCTGGCTCATGAAGACACATGAAAATGAATGCTGAATAGGTGTGGTGTTTCATGCTTGGAATCCCAGCCCTGAGAGGCTGGGGCAGAAGGATTGAGAGTTTGGGACCAGCTTGGGCTACAGAGTAACATCTTGTTTCAAACAAACCAACACATGCTGACGGGGGCAGAGTAGGACAATGGAAACTTGGAAGTGAACGGGGAATAAAGACCCTAGAAAATGAGAATCAAGGTCCAGTGCAAGGAAGCTCGCTGTCTTGGAGAACCAGGGGCCAGCAGGGTCAGGGTGTCAGGGGGCAGAAGATGTTGCCCTCAGGGGCAGGAGGGTTCGTTAGGTGTCCCCCATGGCTTCTGGCAGGGCTGATAGTGGAGGCAGGGAGCTCTCAGGCAATATCTTAGCCGGCTTCACACCCCGACCCCATCCTCCCAGGACCCCATTCCTCTCACAGCATCCCAGACAGAGGGGCCAGCAATTTGAGAGGAAAGGGCAAAGTCTGGCCCCACCAGGATGACGAGCCTGGGTTGGAACACCTCTCATCTGGTACTTTTGTAGATGTAAGGGCACTTCTGGTATTGATGTGCACCTCAGGGCAACTTCCGGAAGCTCTGAGGTGAAATGAATATCCTTGGCTCTTTCAGGAAGTGTATGTTGGCAAGGAGACCCTGTGCACCATTGACGGGCTTCATTTTAACAGCACCTACAATGCCAGAGTCAAAGCCTTCAACTCCTCTGGTGTCGGGCCCTACAGCAAGACTGTGGTCCTGCAGACCTCCGATGGTGAGCAATCCTCAGCTGTGCGGTCAGATGTCAGAGTAACGCCTCATTTCCCACGTCCTGAGGGTGGTGGGGGTGAGCAGATGGTGCCACCATCTAATGGAGCTTGAGATTTGTGACTTGGCCGCATCACCTCTTTGTGTTTCAATCTCCTAGCTACAAGGTGGGCCATGGATAGCCATTTCCTCTGTCACTTCTAACAGAGCCTGCATCATTGGGGAGATGCTAGGACTCAGGGCTCCGGGAAATGGACCTGGATGTGGGGCCAGGCAGCCTGCATGTCTGTGCTTCTTAGCAAGGCTGGATCAGTGGAATAGAAACTTGGAGGAATACAGAGCAGGGAGAGAGAGAGAGAGAGAGAGACAGACAGACAGACAGACAGACAGACACACACACACACACACACACAGAGAGAGAGAGAGAGAGAGAGAGAGAGAGAGAGAGAGAGAGAGAGAGAGAGAGCCTGTGTGTTAGGTTTCTATTGCTGTGATAAAGACTATGACCAAAACCAACTTGTGGAGGGAAGGGTTTATTTCATCTTAGAACTCTCAGATCACAGTCTATCACTGAGGGAAGTCAGGGCAGGAACCTGGAGTCAGAAAATGAAGCAAAAGCCATGGAGGAGTGCTGCTTACTGGCTTGTTCCTCATGGCGTGCTCTGTGTGAGAGTGTGTGTGTGCATCCCACAAAGACCACTGGCCACAGTGAATCAACTCTGACAGCAGCGAGTGAGTCTATCAATTACCTTGACTCAACAGCAAAATGTGTGCGTATGTGTGTTGGGGGCGGGGGTGGAGGTGGTGGTGATGGTGTGAGGGAGGCAGGGAAGGAGGGAGAGGAAGAGAGAGAGGGAAGAGGGAGATACTGTTTGACCTTGTTTGTTTTGACTTCTTCCTTTGCAGTGGCCTGGTTCACTTTTGACCCCAACTCTGGCCACCGGGACATCATCTTGTCCAACGACAACCAGACGGCCACCTGCAGCAGCTATGATGACCGGGTGGTGCTAGGCACAGCTGCGTTCTCCAAAGGTGTACACTACTGGGAGCTGCATGTGGACCGGTATGACAACCACCCAGACCCTGCCTTCGGGGTGGCCAGGGCCAGCGTGGTCAAGGACATGATGCTGGGCAAGGACGACAAGGCCTGGGCCATGTACGTGGACAACAACCGCAGCTGGTTTATGCACTGTAACTCCCACACCAACAGGTGCGCAGCCACCCTGCCCTCCAAGGATTCAGGGGTGGGGGAGAAGTGTCTTGCAGACCAGTGTCCCTTTGATTGTGCCCAGGTGCTGGGAGAGGAGCTGGTTTTCGGTACTTTATGCTCTAGTTCCGGGAGGCTTGGACAGTGACTGGGAGAAGTAAACCATTTGCCTGCAGCATAAAGAGAAGGACTTGATGGCAGGAACAGCTCTGGCCCAGTGGTTCTTCAGTCCCCAGCTGGCCTCACAGTGGCTTCTGCTGGGAGCTTAATTTGTGGTTTTCTTACTAGTCCTGCTCCAATTAGCTTTACAATCATCAAGCTAAGCCCAAGTCACTGCACAGAGCTAATGGGAGACTTGTTTCCCACAGAGGGAGCAGAAGTCACTGCCATGGCCGGTGGTTTGCCTGAAATGACCCTGTCACCGCCTTGGGGAAAAAGGAACTTCAGTCTCAAGGAGCTGACCTCCCTGGGCTCCTGGCGGGGTTGCTCCGTCCCTGGGGTGCTTGTGTTCTTGGCGCCCTGGTTGCTCTTACAAAAAGAGCTGAGTAACCCAGCTCCTCCCACAGAAAAGCCAGGTCTAGATTGGCCAGGAACTTGCCTGAGGACCCTGACCACTATCTTTCATTCATTCATTTATTTATTTATTTATTTATTTATTTATTTATTTATTTATTTATTTATTTATTTATTGGTTTTTCGAGACAGGGTTTCTCTGTGTAGTTTTGGTACCTGTCCTGGATCTCGCTCTGTAGACCAGGCTGGCCCCAAACTCACAGAGATCCGCCTGCCTCCGCCTCCCGAGTGCTGGGATCAAAGGTGTGCGCCACCACGGCCCGGCTCTGACCGTCCTTCTTTTCACCACTGTCTTTCTCCTCTCCAGAGGCTTATGGGAAGGGCAGTGGCTATCCCTCTGGACTCTCTAGCTGGGCTATAGAAGTGACCGGGCACTACAGGTTGCCCAAGTAAAACAGTCTGGCCAGTACTTCAGACTAAGTGATGTAGGTTAACCAAGATATACAGACTGACCAGGTGATGCAGGCTGCTGACTAGGTGCTGAAGGCTAACCAGGTGGCACATGCCAGGTGGTACAGGATGACCAGGTGCTCCCAACTGACCAGGTGGTGTAGGATGACCAGGTGATGCAGGCTGACCAGGTGGTACAGGATGACCAGGTGCTCCCAACTGACCAGGTGGTGCAGGATGACCAGGTGATGCACACTGACCAGGTGCTGTGGATTTCCTGGGTGCTACAAGCATTTCCCTCCACCTCTAACCCAAGGGGCCAAGACCACCCCAACCTACGAGTTCCATGTCTGTGTGCTTAGCCGACGTCCACCTGGACACTCTGTGATGGTTACAGCAATGACCTCAAGCTTACATTAGGTGCTGACTCTGCTTGATACTGTAGGTAGCATGGGGGCTACCGGAGCACCCTTAATCCTTACAAAAGCCCTACCTCTGTTGCAGATTATGAGGCAAGTTTAGGCAGGCTGGACTTCCCTCAGACCCGGAGAGAATAAGAGGTGCTGTTAGGATTTAAAGAGGACATCAGTGGAGTCTCCTATGGTGAGAACTCCTCAATCCCCAGGGCAGAGGCTGTCATATTCCCTAAATGCTCTGGAGCCCTTGCCAGGCAGCCCCTGGGCTTCCCAGTAGAGGATCAGAAGGAACATGGGAGACAAAAGATAGCAGAGGGAAGAACTACACCTGTGTGTACTCCTCCCACGTCCCAGGGTGGGGCAAATGCAGGTGACCTTCCTTCCAGAAGAAGCTTGACTCACTCCCAGACATGACCTTGATTCTAGGGGGTGGTTGCGTGGAAAGCTGGCAGGTCAGACTTGTCACCACTGCCACCTGGTGTTTAGTGTTAAAAATGCAGTGACTGTCCAGTTCTGGTTTCCCTTCCCATCTGTTGGATCCTTCTGCACGGAGCCCTAAGGCACCTACCTCCAGGACACCTGCCCTCTTCAGGAGCATCCTCCTCTCGGCCAGTCCACCAGGTCCTTCTAAGACTTCATGTCAGGAGCTCTTCTCACTTCTCACCTCTGCCCCTGGCTCAATCCTAACCAAGGACTCACAGTTTCCTCCCAGAGCTGAGCAAGGAGTCCTTAGTTGATGAAGGGAAAGTCTGCTGAAGGGCACAGAGGCTTCAACAACTTCACTTAAAGTTCCTCCCCTCCCGAAGATAGATTTTTACCATCCCAGAAATGTCTCAGTCCCAACATTTGTCAAGTGCTCCAAAACTAGCATGGTCACCTGTGGAGTGGTGACTCAGGGGACTTGATTCCCAGTTCAGCATGCATCTCCCACCACACGCTGCCAGTCCCCTGGGAAAGTTCTGTGCAGGTGAACTGAAGGGGCATGTCCTTTCCAAATGTCTCTGGGCCTTGAGATCTGCATCTCCATCTGGCTCAGTATCATCACGAGACTAGAAAAGGAAAGATGACCCATTGCTTCTCTTCTGTACTCATGCTTGGTGCCTTGTGGTTTCAGGAGGGATCCACCCAGCCAAACTCTTGTTCCCTGGTGTATAGGTCTCAGACACTATGGATAAGAAGGGGCTGAGCAACTTGGTCCCTCAGGGTTGTCTTCTCTTGTGTCTGACATACACTCACACCCTTGGAGGCTGAATTTGGATGAGGATGTTACCAACATCTTTGGGGTATTCTGAATTTCTGTGATATCATAAGCTGGGTGTGGTAACAGGTTTTCCTGGCTTATCTTCCCAGGACTGAAGGCGGTGTGTGCAAGGGGGCCACTGTGGGCGTGCTGCTGGACCTGAACAAGCACACACTGACGTTCTTCATCAATGGGCAGCAGCAGGGCCCCACAGCCTTCAGCCATGTGGATGGGGTCTTCATGCCTGCTCTCAGCCTCAACCGAAATGTGCAGGTATACTCCGAGCCCAGTCCCTGCAACTTGTCTGCTTCCTGGACAGTGTGCACTGTCACGAAACTGGGCACCTATTTGCCAGACAGGCAGTTTGCCGGCTGGCCTCTCTGAGCATCCCTGAAGGGGGTCCTAAGTACTACTCAATCACTTGGAACAAACAGGCTTGGAGGGGCTCCAGGGAGGAGCAGGGGCTTAGTGTCCCAGGGGAATGGGATGGCACAGGAGCTCCTGATACAGGCCAAGTGAGAGGTCAGAGGACAGGGACATCCCTCACTTCTAACAGATTCCTTCTGTTCCTGGAGCCATCAAGGGACCAGCCTTGTGTCTACTGCCCAGCAGTTGGGTCCACAACAGTCTGGCATTGGTTACTTGAAAAGGGAAACTGAGGAGCACAGTGTGAGCTGTCCGGTTACTAGAGGAGACAGCAGGTGCAAAGACTCAGCCGTGAGAACCAGAGCCCCTCTGATACAGGGCTCCACGGCGCTAGCCAAACAGGGAACCCAGCTGGTCATCAGTGTCGCTCCTATTGTGAGGAAAGATGTACAAGGTAACACTTAGCCATGTGAACAAATGAGCAGCAAGTCCACAGCATAAGTTCTCCACTGGCCACGTGGCACATGCGGCCACAGTACTGCCACAGTGTTTGGTGTTATGGACAGCTTCTCCTGCCCTTTGTTCTTCTCCATTCCCCTGCTTCCTGCCTCTTTCTCCTCCCCCTCTCTCCTGTGTTAGGGACGGGCCCCAGGGCCTTTGCACACTCTGCAAGCGTTCTGCCGCTGAGCCAACCCCTGCTTGCTTCATCTTTTCCAGGTCACCCTGCACACAGGACTGGAGGTGCCAACAAACCTGGGACGGCCAAAGCTGTCCAGCAACTAGCCTGGTGGCCCCTGCTGCCTGCCTGGTTGTGATGGCGGCCCTCACAGAGGACAAGGGCACAGCAGGAAGTCCTGGGTCCCAGCAACCAGTCAATGTCTGAAGACGCTCTTTTGGGGGAAATGGAAAATGAATGGGCTGTGAGCCACATGGCCATACTGTGGCTGCCAATGTCAGGAGTGGCCTTTCACCTCTACGCCACAGAGTTTAGGGTTCCCAGTGCTCCGGAAAGCTTTGGTTTCAGGCTTCTGTTTTCTGACACCTTTTGAAAAGTTTGATTTCCCCTTAAATTTTTTTCCTGGAGGGAGAGTGGAAGGCTAACTTGGAGACTGGTATCGCAAGACCAGTCAGCGCTGTGATGTCAACTCCATGCCTGCTTGTAACCCGTTGCTAGGACTCTGCTCCTTCTGGAGTCCCAAGCTGGCAACTTGTTGCTTCTGCTGGAAGAAACCGAACTTGAGCCTTTGGGATCTGTAATCTTCAATACACTGCAAACAAATTCAGGACTAATGGAACATTAATGAACTACTAAAACCATTCAGAAGGGCTTCCTTACTGCCTTTATTATTAACCGTGTGCTATCAATAGCCCCCCCACACACACACACACATACACGGTGTGTGTAACAATCAGTTGTTTTTTGTTTTTTTGTTTTTTGAGACAGGGTTTCTCTGTGTAGCTTTGGAGCCTGTCCTGGAACTCACTCTGTAGACCAGGCTGGCCTCAAACTCACAGAGATCTGCCTCTGCCTCCCGAGTGCTGGGATTAAAGGCGTGTGCCACCACCGCCCGGCTCAATCAGTTAACTTTTATTCATTCAGTTCTAAGTTACAAATGGAAACCCTGGAATCCAAGACAGTGACATGTCTTTGCACAGCAGTTGCTTTCTCTACAACCTGATTCCCCAGAAATTGATGGAAATAAACTACATTGCCTTCCTAGGCTAGGCCTTGAGCACAGAAGCAGCAGACCCCGGGAAGACCTTTCATCAAGGCAAGCCCCTACGGCTTCACCCAGTGCCCTGCTGGAAGTATCACGAACGTGAGAAGCGGCCCTGGTGGCAACATGGGGTGGCTCTGTCACAATGGGACAGATGAGACCCCAGAGAAAGGCTGAAACTAGATGATGACACCCTACAACTTCTCTTTCCACCTGAGCCAGGGTCTCCTTCTTCTGAGGAGCGCTGCCCTTGCTGGCGAGGTCCACAGGAAGTCATCCCCACCCTCAGGCCTCATGTCACCCCTGCCTGTCTCCTGCAGTATCCAGCTCTGTCTGCCAGTGTCCTTGCTCTCTCCTTTGGAAAGAATTCATTTCATCAAGTGTTTCATTTTACACCGAGGAATGACTTGCCCATCAGCTGGGCTGTTTCTTGTTTTTTTTTTTTTTTTTTTTTTTTTTTTTTTTTTTTTTTTTAATATCAGATCCGCACCGATCCCAACTGTGCTTCCTCACCGCCTTCGTGCATAGGCCCTGCACCTGCTCCCAAGTACCCACCGCTGGGCTGCACAGACCCTCCAGTCCTACCTCAGAGTTCTCACTGGTGGCCCTGGTTCTCTCAGATACTCGGATGTCACCAGGAGCAGTTCCATGCTGTCCAGCCTCCACCCTGGGCCCTGGAACCACCTTCATGGCAGAGGTGGACCTTTGGCTTCTTTGGACTCTCTTCCTGTTGAGTGGTCTCTGGTCTCTGGCTCAACAGCTCATAATTCCATCTAGAGCCCTCAGGGCAGCCCATGGGACCCTGGCTACCATATCCTCAGTTGCTCAGCAGGTCCTGTTGTCCCACGGCCACAGCTCTGGAAGATCCCAGCAGAGGGAGGGAAAGGTGCTTCTTAGTGAAGAACATGGAGGAGCCTCTGCCTTCCTGGACCCAGGAAGCCACATGTGGCCGTGGTCAGGAGTGGTGGTGCTGGTGCTGGTGCTGCTGCTGCCAGTGGTGGTGGTGCTGGTGGTGCTGGTCCAAGTGTCTGGCTCTCTTGTGGGAGAGCCCAGAGACCCTGGAGTAAGAACAAGCAGAAAGGCTGGCCAGGGGGAGCCCTGCAGTCTTCAAAGTCTGGGTCAAACACCTGCCTGGTGAGGGCAGGAGTCACTTGGGCAGATCTGGATCTGTGGATCGCTTTGGGGAGATAAGGAAATGGCCACAATTCCAGGTGACTTTTTTTTTTTTTTTTGGTGCTGGAGAATCCAACCCATGGCCTTGGTCCTGCACATGCTAGGAAAGTGATCAACCATTGAGCCCCCAGAGCTCTAGGTCACTTTCCTTCTTCTCCTTCTCCTCCTCCTCCTCCTCCCCCTCCTCCTCTTCCTCCTCCCCTTCCTTCTCCTCCCCCTCCTCCTCTTCCTTCTCCTCCTCCTCCCCCTCCTCCTCTACTTACTCTTCCTCCTTCTTCTTGTTATTTTAGTTTGTTTGAGACATGGTCTCACACTGTAGCCCAGGCTGGCCTGGAATTCACTATATATCTCAGGCTGGCCTTGAACTCACAGCAATCCTCCTGCCTCAGCCTCCTGAGTACTGGGATTACAGAGGTGAGCATCACACCCAACTCAGGTGACCTCTTTAAGGAGTTCCCTGAAGTTGAGCCAGGAAGACCCAGTTCCCCATCTCCCACAGCAGCATGGGTGGGGGAGGTAGCTAAACATCTCCCTTTGCTCACTAGAGCCCAGAAGCAATACGCTGATGCCAGGGACAACCCAGGCACAGCCACCTCCCCTGCCTTCTGCACAGGGCACCTTTCAGGGACAAGAATGCATGGATGAGAGACTGGCGGGGCGGTGTCCCACACTTGGGGGTTTGCGGCGATCAGAAAAGCTAAGTCCTCACAGTGGCAAGGCCCTGGAATTGCAAGTGACAGACAGATCATGGGGTCACCTTAGCAGCTGGTACTGAGGTGACATTGCTGTATATACACAACATTAAGGTGAGGCCTTCCTTGGTGGGCCACTGAGAAGGAACTTGGGGTAAGTCTGCGAGAAAGAAACTCAACTCTGAAGCCTGCTTTCTGTGTGGGTCAGTGAATGCCAATCCCTTAGAAACGAGTGTCCTTGACAAATACCCACTGGCACCTACACCACACACAGCACCTCCCCCCTCACAGCAGGGCAGCAGTATCCACAGCCCAGGCTTTCCCTCCTCTGCCCTGTCTGGAGACACGGTCTCAGCTTTAGAGGACAACTGCCTGGCCTTGGTACTCTCACACTGTATGTGGTCCAGGCTGTACCTTCAGTCCTGTGTGTGCTCTGTGATTCCAAAAATGTTCTTAGCTGCCCTGTAGCCCCAAGGGGTCCAGAGCCAGGAAGCAATATGCTACCAGGGCGAGCCCTGAAACGTGGGCGAGCCCTGAAACGTGGGCGAGCCCTGAAACGTGGGCGAGCCCTGAAACGTGGGCGAGCCCTGAAATGTGGGCGAGCCCTGAAACGTGGGCGAGCCCTGTGAGATGGAGAATGCCCACTCTACTGAGCCCTTTCTCTTGTTCTTGTTGCCCTCCCCCTCCCCTGACCCCCTCAGGTCAGGGCCAGAGTACAGTGTCCATGTGAACTGACCTTCCCGGGGGCAGCATGTCAGCCTTAATTCTGTGAGTCAAAGGCTTGCTTCTTGAGTGGAGACATGATTCAGCGCAAGTGGTCTGGGTTCGCCCTTCGTGAGGCTGTCTCCAGCCCCTATGACCTCCCAATGCAGAGAGAAGAGAGTGGATAAAATCCTTCGGGGAATCTCAATATGGGAGTGTGCAGAACACCATCACAGGACTGTGGGAGTGACCCCAGGGGTGCTTAATGTTCACCTTTGGGGTGGGGCCTGAGTGCTGGAAAGCATTAAGCACCCCTGGTCTCTACCCTCAAGATGCCAAGAGCACCCCAGTTAATGTGACAATCCCTAATACCTAGAGACATCCATATACCCCTTTGGGGCTGACCTGGATCTGGGTCATACTGATTTATTGGGTGTTGACATTCATAGTGTTGGTACCCATTCCTGTGTCACATAGGAGGTCTGTCCCAAAGCCACTGGCCTCATATTACCCCAAGGTAAGAATTCTTCACAGGTCTTCAGTGGAGCATGTGAGGGAAAGGGGCTTACATTCTGCTTACTGAAGATAGTGGCCAACCCCACCTCTACTCTTGGAAAGAAAATTTCCTTCCCTTCATTTTTCTTGGCCACAGTTTCCTGGAAGGAACAGGGATATCTTAATAGATTTGGGACCCTCAAGGAGTTAGAGCAATCTCATAATATATTGTTAGAAGGTGTTCAAAGTCCACACTGGTCCTGGGAACTCTGTTACCCCAGGAACAGTCAGTTGTCAGTGACAGCATGGTATAGGTTCTTGGCTGAATGGGGTCTTGACAGCTGGGGAAGAGGTGAAGAGGTGAGCCAAGGTAAAGAAGAGGCTTGAGGCAGAGAGACGATACAGCAGAGTATCTCTCAGTACTTAGCTCTTAAGTTGGCTTTGATGTTGGCTCATGGCATGCATGGGGTGAATATCCTACTTGTTCTGTGCCTCAGTATCCCTGCCTGCAAACAAGACTGGTCACACCAACCTACCTCCTCTCTGTATTGTGCGGATCATGGAATAGCCTCATTGGTCAGGTCCAGGCTGAATGACTCACATTCAGTGGCTCAAACCTGGATGACTTTACTGTGTCCTCTGACTACAGTGTCTTCCACCCAAGCTTCCTGTGATCAGGCAAGTATTTTTCACATAGCTGCCTGGCCATCTCAGCCAGTTCACATGACCACAGCAAGCACATCCCATTAACAGAGAGCCTGGGTTAATGCCATGTTCCAGGGCTTTAAACAGGCCAAACCTGTCAGCAACCTTCTCTTGAGTGCTAAAGGCATCTGCATGTAGTGTCCCCTAAGCCAAGAAAAGATGTTAGCCAGCCTTCTGCCTCCTGTTCCATCAGTTCTGGTCTCTAAGGTATCCCCTACCCACGCACAGCCTTTCACTTTTATTTCCCCAACAGTAGGGGTGGCTTTGGAAGACATCTGAGAGTGTCATGGCGTACAGCTGAACTGGGACCTCGAGGGGATGGCTAATGACAAGTCCATTTCAGACAAGTGACTGCTGCTGGGACTTCCTGGCACAAGCTATGAAGAGCAGGGAGCCTGACCTTTTCCATGAACAGTGCTGAATCCAGAAGAAGCCGGGATTTAACTCTAAGTGAGGTGATTCCCTCAAGTGGTGCAGCTCGCTGAGGGCCCAACTGTCGACCCAGCCCTGGGAGAGGTCCCAGAGTGAGGGCTAGCAGGGTGGCACTGGGTGCCAAGCCTTTGTGCACATCGCTGAGCAGATGCTAGACAGGTCTTGGGATGACTACCGGAGCTCCTGGAGTGGCCTTTCCAACTCCAAACCCCCAGAGACTGGACTTCCTAAGCCCCCCACTTCCTCAGCCCCAGCAGAGAGTGGGGTGTAGACACAACAGAAAACGTGAATGCATGATAAAGAATCGCCGCCTTTGCACTACACGGCGCATTGAGCATGAAAGGTGTTTGTATAATGTTGGCAAAGGAATTTAACAGAAACAGAAAGCTGTGTACTGTTGTTTTGGCCCCCTTTTCCTACCCCTCCTTGCCTCCTCTCCTCGCCCTCCCTACCACATGGATTCTGTCCCCCGTGGTTGGTATTTGGTGGCAGCTCTTGGTCGTGTGGCTGTTCATGTTTTGCTGAAAACACAGAGGGGTGGGCAGTGGTAAGGAAAGTAATTTTTTCTAATTTTTGTATAGGTATCCACAAGCGTTTGTATTTTTTGAATTGCAAACACTGTGTTTTCTGGTCTTTAGGGGGTTGGTTGAACTTCCTGTATTACTTTTTGGAAAACTTGAGTTTTACCACATTCTTAAACAGATTTGAAATAAATTCTTTTGACACTGCCAACAACTGGAAGTCAGGTGTGGTCTGTGGTCACTGATGAGGGGCCACTTCCCCATTTCCACAGGCTGGCCCTGCTGACCACTGGCCATTCGTTT